GCAGAAGCGGGAGGTACCAGAGTGGTGCTGGTCCTGGTGCCCGCGGCTGGGATGAGGCTGGTGGGGAGGGAGCTCCCCCTGGCATTGAGCTGTGACAGAAGGGGCAGGAGCTGGCTGGGGGGTGGGCACAGGAAGGGGCATCACTAGGCTGGGAATATCACTGCCCAACTCCCATGCTGTTACGGCGCTACCACATGAGCAGCTAGTGTGGTGCGGTGACTGTCTCACCCCTCTCTGTGTCCCCCCAGAGGCAGGAAATGGAGGATGGCTCCCTGCGCTCCATGGAGAAACAGGTAAGTGCCACCACAGAGCCAGGCACTTTGTCCCCATTGCTGGGACCCAGCAAGCTCGACGGTGAGGGCAGCAGGCAAGGGCTGGGAAGGGGAGGAGAACCCATGTGCCTCAGGCATGGCCATGGCCAGGAGGAATAGCCCAGTCCAGGGTACAGGGGGGTCACCCATTTCTCCAGCACAAGTTGCCACCATAGATAGGACTAGGGGGGCCACAGGTCTGCTCTGGTTGGGCCCTGGGGTCTGATCTGTCCCCACTATCCCAGTTCAGATGGGAAAGAGAAGGGGCAGCCCAACCTGATAATGCATCCCCTCATTTGACCCAGGTAAAGGACCTGCAGAAGCAGCTGGCCGAGCGCGAGGGTGAGAAGGCACATCTGGGGAAGGAGGTGGAGGCACTACGGAGCCGCCTGTCGTCGCTGGAGGTACGAGACAGGGACCATGGAGCAGCACAGGGAGCTGGTGATGCAGGAGGGCTGGGACATGTCAGTTTGCCGCTGTCTGCCTGCCAGTGCCAGCCCCATGCGGGGAGCCATGGCCCCTGGGGCCCTGACTTCCTGCCTGTGTCTGCCCCAGAACGAGAAGGAGAACACGAGCTATGACATAGACACGCTGCAGGACGAGGAGGGCGACCTGCTGGAGTTCCCAGGTAGGGCTGGCACCTGGTGTGTGCTGCAGGCTGGGGCCGAGCTGCTGAAGGGACATGGGGAGGCTGAGGGCCTGGGCATCAGGGTGGACACAGCCCTACACCTGGGTCATGTGATGAGACCCAGTAATGAAGGGTTGTAGGAAAAATCAAGGTAAAGCTACATGACATGAGTTATTCTGGTTCACGAGTCTGTTTAACCCACAGTAGCTGTTTGCCCTGGGGCACACCCCCTCTCCTGCCATCTCCTGGTGAGGGGCTGCTGCAGCCTGCTGCATGCAGCTCCCCCAGAGTAGCTTCTGGTCTGTCTGCCCTGGACCCCAGGACCATTTGCATTGGTGCACCCATGACCTAGTCCCAGGGGTGGATGGGGCAGGGGAATGTCATCTCCAGCCAGATTTCTGTGGTTGTCTCAGGGGCAGAGGTGCTGCTGTCCAAGAAGACGATGAGCCTGTCCACAGAGGAGCTGCTGGCCACACTGGAGGACCAGGTGCAAACCCTCACGCTGCAGAACAAGGAGCTGCAGGAGAAAATCCAGGTAATATGGCATTTCCCCACCTCTGCAGGGGTCTCCCTGAGGCCCTCCTTGCTCTATCACAGCCAGCAGCAGCTCAGGGTGAGTCCAGGTGGGGCTGCTCTGGGCTGGAGGCTTACACCTGTTTCCCTTCTCCAGTGAGGAGCGAGGCCATTTGTGTTTGGATCCTGGCTTCCCCCATCCTGACCTGGCTCTGGCTAGCACCTTGGCCTCAGCCTCCACGCCAAGTCCTCCCCTCCATCTCTGTGGTCTGCACATGATCCAGTTGCCACCACAGCCCCCACGTGCCATGGCCTTCTTAGCCTACCCCCACATGCCATGGCCCCTGCAGCCCTGCCTTCCCCATGCCAGTGCCCACATGCCTTGTGAGCCTCTGCTGCATCTCTGCTAACATCCCATCCAACTCCCATTCCTGCTTCTCCCAGGGTTCCCAGACATAGCTCAGAAATGCTTCCTCTGGGCATCTCATATAGACTCACTAGGGGGGACCAGAGGGGTTTGGGGGAGACGGTGTTTCCCCTAGCGCCCGCTGGCATAACAAGGAGAAATGGGCACAAGCTGTTGGAGAGGAGGTATAGATTGAACATCCGCAAAAACTACTTCACGGTTAGGGCGGCTAGGAGCTGGAACCAACTTCCAAGGGAAGTGGTGCTGGCCCCTACCCTGG